CTAAATGTCTGTGAGATGTCTACCATCTAAAGGTGGGCGCTGTAATCATCTGTCCACTGACCCCATGATGCTCATCTGCAATCCTCTCCGCAATCCTTGTGCTCTATCAATAATTTCAAGCCTCAGATTAACAGAACACACTTTTGTCCCACACATCATGTGAACTAATGGCAGGAGTACATCAAAGAATGAAACAAAGGAAATAGAAGACTTGGTGCCATGCTCTAGGTTTGGGGCTCTTGGTAATCAAATGCTGCTGGTGAGGCCTGTGATGAAATTAGGTGATGTTGCCTAAATAAGGGATGAAGGGTTCATAATTGCCAGTCCTTGAGATCTGAGGTGCTGGGTGCCAACTGTCAGAGCAGGGCTAATGATGACAAATGTCTCTCTATGCAGATTGCTGCAGCAGCATGAGTGTGCAGCTGAGAAAGAACAAGAAAAGAAAAATGCACAGGGCCTAATAAGAGAAAGCCTGTGTGCACATATTTAATGACCTACATGGAAACAAACCTCCTTAACTGATGGGCTGCCTTTGAAAATACTCAAGCTTGATGCTGTTTAGAGCTAAAACAGAAGAGTCCCCTACGGTACCCATGACTGGTATTAATAGTGTCTGTGGCTACGAAGAATCATGTGCTGCTTTAAGTGATACAGTAAACAAAAAATAGAAACTACAATTAACTAAAATTTGCTTGCAAGCTTGTCAAGACCATTTAATCATAAAATTTTATCCTGGTGACAAATTTAGTTCTATGTTTAGCCAAAGAATTCATCAAATCTGGAAGAGAGGATATCTAAGCATACTGTCCTTGTGTGTACTTGTCCTCATTAGCTTTTTTAAGTTGATGCTTCAGGTTTTATTGTGCAAGATGGCAAAAATTAGTAAAAAAAAGGGAAATGGAATGCTACGCTTACCTGCCTGTTCCTAGTTAACATAGCAAAACTTTTTTCGGTTAACATGGCTTTTAAAAACTTTGTGTTTTAAAAGTGTGCTTGATTTGAACAACCTTTGAAGCAG